TACGAGGTAAAGTTAGCAGTCTCCTTGGCAGGGTCATCCTTTGAGTTGGAAGTCACATAACCACGCTTCAAGTCCTTGACAACAACATTCTTCACATTGAAACCAACATTGTCACCAGGGAGAGACTCTTGCATTACCTCGAGGTGCATATGAACGGACTTAACCTCAGTGGTGATGCCTAACGGGCCAAATGTGACCACTGTCCTGGGCTAGAGAATACCCGTTTCCACATGCCAACAGGGATAGTCCCAACACCGCCAATCTAATAAACGTTTTGGAGTGGGAGACGAAGACACTTGTTTGAGGGCTTCTTGGGCTCGTTGATCATGTCAAGAGCCTCAAGGAGTGTAGAGCTCGTGTACCACTCAAGGTTGTGGACCTTTCAATCACGTTGTCACCTTTGAAGCCAAAGATGAGAGCAGATGGGATCTTATCAGGGTTGTACCCAACCTTCTTAAGGTAAGAAGACACCTCCTTCACGATCTCATCCATCTTGTTACAGCAGCAAAGCAAGGCGTGCTCACGGGACTGACAATCCTTGGAAATACCAGCCTCAAAGCAACCAGTTGCGGAGTTAATGATGAGAGCGACACAGTCAGCCTGAGAGGTACTAGTGATCAAGTTCTTGATGAAGTCACGGTGTCCAGGGGCATCAATGACCGTGCATTAGTACTTGGTGGTCTCGAATTTCAATAGTGCAATGTCGATTGTGATACCACGTTCACGGTCAGCCTTGAGCTTGTCGAGAAACCCAGGCAGACTTGAAATACTTCTTGTTTATCTCAACAACTTTCTTCTCAAACCGTTCAATAACACGCTTGTCGATACCTCTAAGGTTATAGATGAGGTGTCTAGTTGTGGTTGACTGCCCAGAGTCGGCATGGCCAATAACCACAATGTTGATGTGAACCTTTTCTTTACCCATGATGAATGCTCACACTTTTGATAGATAAAGATTTGAGTATAGAGAGCTCTCTTGCTGACTGTCGATTTGAATACAGAGAGCTATCTCCCAATTCTTAAGTTATTGAACATCAGTTAACTAAATTAATTATTGACAATTAATATTTCTTTTTTTCCAAAAATAATACGAGTTTCATTTGTTCGTATTCGTGTTTGTTGTCCACTATTCTGATAGAAACTGATAGGGATATTAGTATCAATTCGGCCTAACGCGATAAATCCAGAAAAGACCCAAGGGTCGACCGGCTACAAGGGTCGATCAAAGATGGGGGTCGACTGAAGACCGACCGGTCGAGAGGGTCTCGACCGAGAGTTGACTGGCCCAAAAGACTCGACCGAGAGGTGATTGGTCCGAAGGGCTCGACCGAGAGTTGATTAGCCCGAAGGGCTCGATCGAAAGTTGATTGACCCGAAGGACTCGACCGAAAGTGGATTGACCCGAAGGGCTCGTGTTTCTTATGTTTTTGTGCTTATTTTTATGTATTAATGTGTGTTATCGAGTCAGTTTTAGGTTTGTTTTAGTGTCGACTGGTCTATTTTATCATTTTCCGTGTGTTTTTGTGTCTTTCGTTTTATTTTTTATTTTGGCGTACTTTTCCGTGCTTTTGGTATATTTTTAGGTTTGTTCCGAGAATGAATGAGGCGAGTAGAGCCGAGTTCCAAAATTCTGAGAAGTTTCGAGTCATTTCATACGAACCATTCTCAATCGATTATGTCGAGTCTTAGCCACGCCGAGCGAGCCCTGCCCCGCTTACTCGCAAGCACGCACCGTGCCCCGCGACCGTGCGCGCCTGCGCACGCCCATGCCCCAGAAATCTACACCCGCGAGATCGCCCCCTTGCCCGCAACCACGCGGACGCTCGGGGCCCCATCCAGAAGCTCACGCTCTCGCGGAAAGAGTGGCGAGATCGAGAGTGCCTACGCACCCGCACGCCTGCACGCCCGCGCACGCTCTTGTCAACGCCCGCTCGCCCCGCCCATACTCACGCACTCGCGGATGCCCCGGCGAGCTCGAGAGTGCCATGCCTTCCATGCCCGTGATGTTTGTTGCCCGCGAGCTCGCAAATTTCTCGGAGACGTCGAGAGTGTCTCATTAAGTGTGCGTTTTCCTAGTGTGTGTTTCGAGTGGTAGTACAAATATTTTTCTTCATTTGCATTTTGGAGAACTACCACTCATTATTTCATCTGACCTAATAAAGAAGTTTTATATGCTAAAGTTCAGTTCCCCTGGGAGATTTTTCCTTTTTAGGATCTTATGTTATGTTTCAAGTTTGCTCTCTAGGCTAAGGAGCTTATGTTATTTTCTGGGAGGTTTTCCGGCGACTTTCGTTTCTTTCAAGTTTTGGCGACTTTTGTTTCTTTCAAGTTCCAGCGACTTTGGTTTCTTTCAAGTTTCTTTTCATTTTGACCTGAAAGGCAATTAATGGGCAAGTGATCATTCAATTAAAAGATTCGAGAAACCTATTCGTTCAGTCACTCGTCCTCAATAACTTTTTGTAACAAGAAATAAACATGAACGGCAAATTTAACGAGTCGTTTACCACACGAACAATACAATTACGAACAAGCCTATTTTATATGAGCCTAGATCGATCGACTCCTCCCTTTTCGGTTCTAAGAGTCGATTAGATTAGATTGGACGGTGTTTAATCGACTAATCAATTGGAATGAACAAAATCCCACAAGAACCATTTAAATTCAATTGAAAATAAATTGGATATTGAAGTGTCACCATTCAACAATTCTCAACATTTAAGCAAAATAAATGAAAACCCTATTTAAAAGCAACTCTCATAAATTGAATGATTCACAAGCACGTTAATCATAGTCGAAACCAAAACATCATCCCCTATCCCTAGAAATTGGGTTAGCCATTCATACTCAATCCACCACAAACAATCTCAACAATCAAAGAAATCATATCCATGGATTGAACAAAAATAAAATCGTACGAATGATGAAGATCTGAGTCTTGAATCAGAATACAAGCTTAATTCCCATAATAATTAGAGAAAAAAAATTCAAGAGAAAATCAAAGATGAAATTTAAGGTTTTGGAGAGAGAAAATCCTAAATACGGCGATGAATGATGCCTCTAGGGTCTGAGATAAATTCTAATTTATAAGGCTCGATAAACCAAGCCAAAACGAGAGAAAACGAAAAAATAAAAAAAAAACTTCCCGCGACTAGGCCCTAGCGGCGCTAGGTGTTGGGATCTATAAGGATCTCGTTATGTACAAGTTACGAATTCAGTAGCAAACGTAAAGCTATGCACAGTGGATCTAAAGGTTTGACGTAAGAAACTAACGGCTTAAAATTTTCTGAATCTGGCGGATTTAGGATGACCGGGAATAGCATACAATGAAGCCGGGAGCATGAACAGGTCAGGTCAGGCTCGATGTTGGGTCGCGTGCGGTGGTGTTGGGTCACCGGGCGTGTTGCGCGGGGTCACCGGTGGGGCTGAATCGTCGAGCGGCAGCTTGCGGCGGTCCTCGGTTGGCGGCGATTGGTCCGGCGGGTCTGGGATCGGCGATCCTCGGCCTCCGGGTCGTGGTTCGACGGGTCTGGTTGATCTATGGGGTTGATGAAAATATATCTCTGATGGGTCTCCTCCTTGATCTGGAGTGAACCAGATGTTACGATCTGTTTGAACCTTCTTCATCGCCTCTATACCATCGCAAACACCTACAAGAACTCAACGCCGTAAGTGGTTCCGGCGTAGAGCTTCCGACGCTCAAGTCAATATCACAAGTAGATGAATGGGCTCTACTCAATAAGAGTTGGTTACTAAATCTTTGAGAGAAATGAGACTTAAGCCTCTAGAAATGAGTTGATACAATGAAAACCCTACCTTGTGTTGGGATCTATGAGGATCTCGTTATGCACAAATCACGAATTTAATAACAAAACGTAAACCTATGCGCAGCGGATCTAAAGGTTTGCATAGAGAACTTACAACTTAAAATTTATGGCAATCTAGCTGATCTTTTGGATGGCCATACACAACACACCAATAAATTGTTGACTGCAAATCGCGTCTTAGGATTGCACGAATAAGATCAAATCAAAAACCGGATCAAACAGGTGCAAAACGGTTGAAGACAAGTTGCAGTACTGGGACCTTGCGACGGCACGTGCGGTCGCATGGGTGGTCGGACGGCTGCGATCTCAGCAGCGTTGGAAAGCTCTCGTCGATACGGTCGTCTGGGTATGATGCACGTCTTGATCGGACCTCCAGTTAGTTCTGTACGACATAATATAATTTGTCTCGCTTTACCCAAATATCTTCTACTGTATATCTCAAACACCTCTTAGTCTTGTACCGGTGGAACAAAAAGAAGAAGATAAAGCTCGAATGAGAACAGAGAGAGAGAAGAGAGGCATGGGGCGTGTTTCACGAGTTGTGGAATTCTTTTCTCTTCCCATGAGCTTAATGATGTATATATAGAGCTACAGTAGGGATCCTTAGGAGATTAGGATTAGAGCTCCTTAATTAATTAAAATACTTGTGGACCAAGCCACTTATTTTAATTAATTAAATAATATTAAATGGGCCAACAATATAATATTATTGCATTCTTATTTCCTAGCCCAATTTACAATTGAGACTCCAATAATAATTACTCGATTTATCTCCCCATGTTTAAGATATAATGTCAATTAATTAATTCGATTACTGACAATCAAGAATTAATTTATTATTATTTCACCGAAGCTTGCGCTCGTTCATCACATTATTACTATACCGGAATTTAATCCACCTGCAGGGTTTAGCATAATAATCCTTCATGAACTAACTCAGGGGACATCATCAAACTAACGCAATTGGTGACCGTAAATATCCTAACAGCACATCCTACATGCAGCAATATTACCTAAGACAGCGATTGTATTGGCCCATGAAATTTGATACTTAAACACCAAGTATCCAGAGTTGCACGTAAATCGAATAGACAGACATTAAAGGAGATTCAAATAATTGCGGAAGCAGTTTTTCACTAAAAATTGAATAATGATTCACACAACTACTTATCCGACCACAACTCCCTTCTGGATTTTCTAGTTCGAATCCCTCAAACTATAAGAACGAACCTCCGAACGTTCTTTTACAAAATGTTCTGAATATCGCACTTTTTCACTCAAGGAAAGAAAAATAACTAACTCAAAAATTCAGATCAAAAAGCTCATCCTCAACTCTGGTCTCGTCCTCCTTTTATCTTCAGCACACTTTGGAAAGTCTTCTCATCCAAGACAAACACATATAAGGAATGAAAATCTTTTGAACTTTTTCTTCTTTGATCATGGAAATAAAATCTCGCGATCCTCATCTCTTCAGATTATGGAAAGTGCATCTCCCCCTCAATCCCAAGGTCCTGCCAAAATAATAAAATAAATAATCAGTCCTTTGGACTTAATTAAAATTAAGACTTATTCTTACCAAAAATAAACTTCCCTTAAATACTTCCGTAAATTTCTGGACTCTGCGAACATTAGAAGGTTCATCGATTTACTGCCAATCTTCAGCACTTACATTCTCCCCCTTTGGCAGATAAATCGAAAACCATGAACCTGCAAAGACGAAACAAATACAAATACTGCAGAATACACAACATCCCAAGAGAACTAATATCACACATGAGTTGTTCTTAGGAACAACTTAAAATACCTGAATACATGCACATTAGTTCACAAAATATCCCACAAAAGTTCATCAAACGTAAGATAATAAGACATAAAGGAAGAAGTTCAAAAACACATAAAACAGAGTCTTTAACAAAAGGCAAATGAAAGTCCAGCTGGGAGATAGCTATGCAGATTCTTCCTCGTCAGATTCTTCCCCAGAACCTTCTTCAGCAGCATCCTCAGTCCCTTTCTCTGAGCTTGATTCCTCTTCCTCATCCTCGGTATCAGACCCAGCTTCTTCATTCTCTCATTCTTCTGAACCTTCATCTACTTCCACAACCTTCTCCTTTCCCTTGTCCTTAGCGGCAACAATCTTCTCTTTCCTCTTTTCCATAGCAGTAGCAGCAGCCTCCTTTGTCTTCTTTTCTTCAGTAGACCCAGTCTTCTTCTCCCCCTTGGCAAGAGCTTTCTTCTTCTCCTTGGCAAGAGCTTTCTTCTTTGCAGCAACAACATCCTTCTTTTTCTCCCCCTTTTTCGATTTAGAGACCAACGGGGCACCAGACTTTAAAGCACCCAGAACCTCCTTGTAGTACCTTCGCTGATCAGCCAATTTCTTTTCAAGCCCCGCTGTAATATCCTGTCATGTTATTAATGTAATATCATGTTTAGTTCCGAAATAATTATTTTATTAAGCGTTATCGTTCGGAACTATTATCCAGGTTAAAAACGTTCGAATTAATTTTCAAATATCACGTTTATGTTCGGAATTATTTTCCAATAATTAATACATGTTCAATAGCTCGATTGAAATATTATCGAGCCTAATTATATTAATCATGAGCTAATCATGGTGTAGTAATGTTAAGTACACTTGATTAGACCTAAGTGCATGGTTATTATCTACAATTCATGTTCCATTTTCTATTAACCGTACCAAGTTATCTAATGGTGCTTAACTTAAGATTATGGCCTAAGCTAACACACTTCACGCACACTTAGCTTTACATAGCCGAAATTTATGACTTCTCCCATTTTCACGTGGAGCATCATCATGACACTTCATATGTGGAGGCTTGAGGTAAGTTGGGAGGGTGACTAAGCTTATGAGTTGATGACTAAGCAAAATTGGTACCACCTTGGGCCTTAGGCGTGCGGCAAGTGGCACACGGCCATTGACCAAGGAGTTTCACCACAAATTCACTATCGTCCCCCTCCATATAAATGAGAGGTTAAGGTAAAAATTATAGCTT